TTCATGAACCCTAAGCTTCAATCCAACTCCAAGATTCAACTTTCTGCTCATCTCTCTCTTCTTCTCGGCATAGCTTCCATGTCTTCCCTTGCCATCTGGGCTTGAACATCACAAGTTCTTTTTTTTTGGTTGTTGTTGAAGTAGTTAACATTCTGCAGAAGGCAATAACTTTCTAGCTAGCTAAGACAGTTTTGTAATTTTTTTGGGGAAGAAAGGGTTTCTAGATCATGTATATCGCATATGTCCCTGGAACTTTATGGTCATAACTTTTGAATTTTTGGAGAAAATTATTTATAACTTTTGAGAATTAAGCACATAAAAACCTGCAAATGGTGAGTGGGAAAGCGTGGAATCAACATTAGGAGGCGGTGGAAGCACCTGTGTTTGTTACTTTTCTTTTTTCTTTTTTATATATAAGAAAAGTTCAGATGAATTGGGTAGTGAGGCTTAGTAAAAATAGAGCATGCTTTTAGATTATAAAAATACTTACAGAAATACTTACAAATCGCTTATCAATAATGTCTTCACATCGATAGTAGAATTTGAATTTATAACTTTGTGGGTTATGAGCATACTGCTCTATCACTTTTTAAATATTAAATGAATTTTTACATTTTTTTTTAATTTTTGCTTCTTGGACAAAAATGGTGAGTGGGGAAGGTACCTCTGCCGTTGGGCAGGGCTCTAAAGTGTTTCAAAGATTGGAGCTTCCACTAAGGACTTTCTATGGACACCAATGTCCTCCTCTGGGATGGGCTGACCCACAATCCTGACCTGCTTCATCGACCCACATGATCTTCCTACGTGGCATGTCCACCTGTTTTATGGGGTGGGGTAGGGTAGGCAAGGAGAAGGTTTCTTATCCCATAATGTAAGTCGTCTTATTCAATCTATCATATAAGTATCCAATTTTAGCTTTATTGTAGTGGTCTGTAGACTGTTATTTTGTCAAAAGCTACATATATTAAATAAGAATTAAAAATAAAAAAGTACTCTTCCAGTTTCTAAGATATGATCTAATTTAAGAATAAATATTGATTTTGTATGTAAGAATTACATTTTTTTTTCAAATTAATCTTATTGATATTTTCCCACAATAATCAAGTTGGAGAGGGAGGGAGCGAATTAAGGAAGGTAATTAAGCATTTTAGGAAAAAAATCCTATTAACCAATTTAACCAACATCTTTAATCTATTCAAATTAATTAATTAGGTCTTACATTAAGGATCAGATGAATATTAAATTTCAAAACAAAGTCAATAAAATTTAATACTTTTCTTAATTTCGATAAGACATGCTAATAGTGTCTTGTAAATAAGATTAGAAAAGTGGTCGGAGATTTTTTTTTTTAATTCAATTTGCACCCCTCCAAATTCATATTGAGTGAAGGATTTTTTTTTTCCCTTGGCATTTGCACATGGTGTCCAAAGGCATATCAAGCTCCAATAAATTCAAACAGAGTCGAGTGGAAACATCGGGGCACATAGCAAGCTCTGCCAACAAATGTTTGATAAATTTGGATATTTAGGGCTTGGAATCTAAAATTTTTAATTAAATTATCACAATCTCTTATTTGACTTGAGTTGTGTGCTTTGTTGGTCGGATTTTAAATTTCATGTATTGTTGTCTCAAATTTTTAATCTTAAATTCATTTTTTTAAAAAAGTTCAGAAATAAAAGTTTATGGATAATTTTGTTGGAGCTATTCAATTTTTCAAGTCAAATTTCAACAAAAATATCTTACATTGCACAAGAATGGGTCAACCCACTAATTCATCAAGTGGTGAAAATATTGCACAATATATATGTGTCTATATATATAAAAAAGATAACTTCAACTGGAAAGGACGTCAACCTACCACCTTATAATGCGCATTTGATTAAATTTATACAAATAATTTTTTTAATTCAAAATTCAACAAAAATAATCATGTAAGCATGTCACACAAAAAAAATATAATTCTTTTTTATAACAACAAAAAATATAATTCTTTCTATTTACATCTATAAAAGTTTTTTTTTTTGGGCTAAGCACGTGAATCTTCATATCAAAAGCAATTATATTCGAAGCATTGTCGGGCACTAAATGTAGGTATCTCTCTCAATAAAGATTCAAACCTGGATTCATCAACAAAAGTTAAAGGAAGAAATACCATCCATTAAAATTGTGGGCTTATTTTAAACTCCACATAAATACACAAAGTCTTTCTAGTTATAAACAATGAAATTCATATTAGTTTCTATTTCCAAGTTGAAACCATAAAATTTTTTTAAAGTAACATTATTGACCATAATAAATTACAAGCAAATGGAATATAATTTCTTTTTGAAATATCATATCATGATATGCTCCTTTCACATGTGAACGAAGATATGTATGGTTTAGCCAACTCAACTTGGAGATTAAGTAAGAAAAAGAGAAAAAGTTGAAGGTAAACTCTGTAAAGTTGTGTTTATTGGTCAGACTAATGAGAGCTTGCCACTAATAATAACAATTTGTTGGATATTCAAACAAGAGAACATTGTAATGAACTACTTTTAATTGATGATACCTACACCAATTTGACCTTGGAATCTTAATCCTCACACCATATTTTAAATAAATTTCTGTTTGTATGGTGCGACCTACATAAAATATATACATTAGTTTACTATTCTATGCCCTCACCTAATTTAAAGTTCATCATAATTTTGTTATTTTTTCTTAAAAAAATTGATATTTACAATCTTCCCAAATTTCACACAGAATTGCGCATATTTTGCAATTGATGTTCCAACTTTTAATATTAAAAATTAGAAATAACTCATTTTAGTCATATATATATATATATATACACGCAAAAATTTTGCACTGATTTTCTAAAATTTAACATTGATGTATGAAAATTTCATAATGTTTCCATCTTTATTATGAAAGATTAAAAAAATTGTTTCAGCCAATACATATAAATAGTCGAAGAGAATCCACCCTCATCTTCCACAATTTATTACTGAACATATAATCATTTGCAAATAATCTTCCAACAATTAAGCAAATGCATCTAATTATTAAGATCTTTTTTGTCATTTATTGAAAATTTAATATGTTTTGATTTTAAAATGAAATTATAGAATAATAATGAAATTGATGACATAAACTAGTGTCCCAAGTTGAGTGACTTTTCAGGTTGCAGAGGAGTTGGGCATAAATACATGAGAGGCCTCCCTTGTTCTTGTCCTCCTTTGGTGCAGGATTATATTCCACAACTGGTGAAAAGGGTCCACTGGTCCCATTTCAAAATCCTTTTGTGGGTCAAAGCATCAAAAGAACTATTCACAATTCAAGGGTTGTCATCACCCCCCCGACCTTAAAAAAAACACATAAAGGCTTCTCATGATCTTCTTTATTTTATGTTATCCAGGCCCTTTATAGCCACACGCCTCCACCTTTTCATCCCAGCAATTGACAGTCTAGACCAGGAGACTTCAAGTGCAGAAGAATAAGCATATGCTGTCTCTGGAAAACTTAAGTTGTTGCCATTCGTTTTCTGATAATTATGCAATTCTTAAACAGTGTACAACTCAGAATTCTGCTGGTGGATTGTGTGTCAATGGAAATAAAAATGTCTACTACAGAGAAAAAGAAGGTAGGAACAGAGAGGCCCCACAATATATATGCTACTGGGCATGAGTCTCTTCTTGTCATGATCCTCTATCCTGTGTAAAGAAAATTTATAAAATCAAATGTGTCTTCATTTTATCATTTTTTTCAACAGAAATAGCCTCTGACCTAAAAAGCCCCCGTTCCATTGTCTGTTCTTTTAAATAATATTATATTTCAGCATTGAGTATGGGTTTGTGTTTTGTCCGTATTTCAAGATCAAGGGTCTTCAGGTAACAGAGTCTATGAGATGCAGTACTGCTTAGAAGTTGAGTTCCTCTGTTTTTTTTTTTCAATTTTCTGTAACCTTAGACATGATCTGTAATACTGGTTTTTTAGCCAGCAAATGCAAATGTTAGAATTTCGTACATGTAAATAAAACGTAAAAGCGACAAATATATATTTTCGCGATCACAAGTTCATTATGCCATTTTTCAGCATTGAGTAGGGGTTTTTGTGTTTTGTCCACAGTACAAGCTCAAGGGTTTTCATGTGATTTTGAGCATACCCGTCTTCAAGTATGTCCTTGTGCTTTAAAAGCTTGTAAAGCACTCCCTATAACTTTTCCAGTTTACCAAAGCTGGGCCCTAAAATTAACTCTACTTACAAAACTACCCCTAGAGTGCTTACATGGCATTAATGGTGTCAGGTCAGTGATGATGTGGCAATAAATTGATATGTGGACAGTTAAGTGGCCATAAGGGGACGCTAGGTGGCAAGCTCACAGCTCCTCTCCAAATCTTGGATAGCCTTCCAACCATCTGAGGGAAGATTAGCCTTTGTTTTTTTTGTTCTGAGCAACCCCGTTTTTTTGAAAAGAAGTTTCCGTATATAATAAGAAGAAGAAGAGTCCTTATACGTCTAGAGGAGAAAGTACTCACTCATTCAAAGAGGAAAACACAAACACACAGACACTCGTATGAGTGGTGTTCTAAATACTTTCATGGTCACTATATGGTACTGGAGAGCGAAGACAGTTAAGAATGATTTACATTTGTTTCCTAGCAATAATGTGAAGTTGCTTATTCAGTCCCCAGCGTTCATGTAAAGTTGCTTATTCATGTAAACTTAGTTCCACCTATTTGGGCAGATTGATCGCCTGACGGCCCAAGCATAACGAAGCTCTTTGCTCCACTTGTCTGGACTAAAAAATAGGTGTGAATAATTTAACAGTCAACATTGTATTATATTAGTTTGCATTAGAAATTGTGTAACATATCTCTCGGAAAAACTTTTCTAGTTCTCAATAGGGCTAGCAGCTTTATGGGCTTCACGAGTTGGGAGAAAGTTGGACATCTGAGACAAATATCAGGGACGCCATCAAATATCAGATAGAAATACAACTCCATTAGCGATTCATCCATTCCGAACAGTCTATAAGATTTGTGACACTATCAGCAATACCCACCAATTAACAGAAGGTAGAAATTACAAACTCAACTCTATATATATACCTGAGACGGAAGAGACCGAGTTAATGGGCTGTGTTTCGAATTAGTTCTTCTCTAGTTGGGGTGTCTTGCTTTGCTTGGCATCTTCAAGCTTTATGATTTCTCTGTTTCGAATTACACACTTCAAGAGGCAGGCTCCATCCAGTGCGTGAACAATACAACTCTGAAATCAGAAAATTAAAACGCGGACAAGTAATGCAAGACTGATATATGGTAGCCTATAACATACTTTTCCTAAAGTTGGTCGACCAGGCAATCCCTCCTCTTCACGCTACTATCCAGGAGGCGTTGGTGTCTTCATAAGAAGGAGGGCAAGAGAGAGTGGGGAGAGAGAAATTGGAGTGAAAAGCAAGCAAAACAAAAGAGCTTAAAAAACCCAAGTCTCATCTTTTTCCAGTGGCGAAGCAAGCATATATACCATCAACATCATGAAATGAGCTTTAAAGAAATTAGCGAACAAAGAATACTGCTGAGGAGACGGTGAGTGAACTACTGATTCCTGGAAAACGAACACATTTGTGGCAACTTTTCTGCAATTTTAGCATTTCTTCATTCATACATCTTCCAGCAAAGCAAAGTTGTGCCGCCCAAAGAATCATTCTTTATCCCCCAAACAGAAACACTTGTATTCCATCACCCTCACTTGTCCTTCACTCGAACAATCTTCAAATCTAACCAACCTCTACATGTATAAAAGCCCACCCTTTACCGTACCACCTTCTGGTCTTCGGAATTTGGATTGAAATTGGTACAATAAAGCCGTCGTCAGGAGTGAAGAGGGTGGGTCATGGGAACAAGCAGAGGTTACTTGAGATTACGAGCTGGCTTGCTTCTCCTTTATCTGACTCTAGCAGTTATTTCCCCCTCTCATTGTGGTAAGTAAGCCCTCTATTATCACTCTATTCCGAACTAATTAGAGTTAATCCTACTTCTTTCATCCCATGTTTTAATATACATTTTACTAATTCTGATCATACACAATCAACGCTGATTTGCTGCGTGAGAGGCGTTATGGAGCAATGTGGCAGACGAAGATGTTAAAAATTCCATTTTGTGATATTATCGAGATCAAGAGAAATTTTACCTGACGAAGATAAGTTCATAAACCTCTTTGATTTCCCCTGTGCAGACGCAGAAAGATCAATAATGCGTAAACGCAAGAGTTCAAGCAACAAGCATTCTAAGAAATTGAAAGCTGTTAAGCATTTTAGTCTCGATCCATCCACAGATTCATCAAATGTATTACCCTATAGCCTTAGCTCACCGTTTTCTCTGCCTCCATACGAATCTCTCGCGCCAATTCCATCGCCGGATAATGGCTCGCCTCCGTTCTGTGTGTATCCTCCAAATCCTCCTTCTACGGGTGTTCCCAGCCCAACTCTTCCGGACCAAGGCCCACCTCAAAGCCCATCTGGATCCTTGCCCACACCATCGCCTCCTTATTCTTACTCTTCACCACTTCTTCCAATTCAAAGCCCACCTCCAGGCCCACCTGAAATTGTTCCAAGCCCACCTACCACTATCCCAGGTTCGCCCGAGCCAGTTATAAACCCGCCCATAGTTTATCCAGGCCCACCAGGGATGAGCCCACCATATCCAATACCCTCCCCTAGTGGTGGAGGCATCGTCCCCAGCCCGCCAAGTTCGTTCCCCTCCCCCACCGGCGGCGGTGTCCCCACCCCACCGAGTGCTTTTCCGTCCCCTCCTGGTGGCGGTTTCCCCAGCCCGCCAAGTACTTTTCCGTCCCCTCCTGGTGGTGGTTTCCCCACCCCGCCAAGTTCTTTCCCGTCCCCCGGAGGTGGCGGCGTTCCTAGCCCAACAGTATTTCAACCACCAGTAATCTATCCACCACCGTTTGTGCCGCCGCCGCCCTATGTTGCCCCAGTTGCCGCCTTGTGGTGTGTGGCTAAGCCCTCAGTTCCCGACCCGATCATGCAAGAGGCAATTAACTATGCGTGTTGGTCCGGAGCGGATTGCGGACCAATACAGCCCAATGGGCCATGCTTCTTACCCGATTCTGTATATGCGCATGCATCATACGCTTTCAATAGCTACTGGCAAGCAAGCAAGGCTAGTGGTGCATCATGCGACTTTGGAGGGATAGCCATGCTAGTTGCAGTTGATCCTAGTGAGTAACAAAAATGAATAATTACATATACATATATATATGTGGGTCAATAATTTTTGTTCTCTCAAATTTGTTCTCATTTTAGTTTAAGGGGGTATTTGGATGGGAATCAAACTATTATTTCAAAAATACTTTCACAGTTTACGAAACAAATATGTGAAGGAATTTATCTCGTTTTGCAGAAAAGTGCTTTTAGAAAGTGCTTTTGGCAATAGCCAAACACCCTTTTAGTCTTCGAAGTTTTAAATCATAAGTTTTGGTTCCTCAAGGGGCAAAATAGTTTTATTAAATTATAGGGACTAATGTTTTAAATAAAAATATTTAAGGGACTAAAATCTATGGTTTGAAACTTGAAGAACTAAAACTAAAACAAAGATAAAAGATTAAAGCACAGTTTTTATTTATTAATTAACAGAGTTGTTTGTTGTGTACAGGCTATGATGGATGCCGCTTTGTGTATGATTGATTTGATAGAGCATAAGAGGGACCGCGTTTGGACGTCAACCATATTAGAAGAAGAGACTTCACTTTCCTGAACAAAATCCCTAATTTTTTTTAACGAATGAAAATAAGGGACGTATGTAGTTTTGGACTTCGTAAGTAAATATACAAACGATTATCTTGACTTCCATGTCGTGCGCATTACTCAGCATTGAAATTGATAGTGTACATCTGTTTTTTTTTTATAATAAAAACTGAAAAACACACTAAACAATCAGGAAAACAAAACAAAAAAAATCCTTAGTCACACTCATCAATCTTCGCCCCTTGCTCTAGCAGTGATAGTTGATCAAGGAGACACCAACTACCCTCTAACTTGGGAGTAAATTTAGCTAATCTATCAGCCAAAGTGAGCTCATTTCTGCTTACATGGTAAAGCTTCACTTGCCAGTCTTTATAAAGAAGAAGTCTAATATCATCATTCTGATGTAGTAATATGTTTTTAAAATTACTATATCAGATATTAAAAAAAATTAATTAAATTAGTCACTTGTATTAAAGACTAGATTTAGTAATTAAATTGGTTTTGAAAATTTCATAGGAGTAAATAAATATATTATCACAAAATCAACTTCATACGCTTTTTTATATTTTATATTGATTAATATATTGAAAATTGCAACGTTAAAGGGAGGAAGAGCAATCAAGTCAGAAATGTTGGACTGAGAAATTTCAATACAATTTGCAACATTAATTGATGTACGATCGGATTATAGGAATATGCTGCTTTAAAATGTAAAGGAAGATTGGAAGTATTTTAGCATGCTTTACCGATCGTCTTGAACTCTTGATTAAGTTTGGAACATTAATAGTTTCATCCAAACACTCCCTAAACCTATCTGCGCAACTAAACTTTTTTTATAAGCAATCTATTCTTTTTATGTGCAATTTAACTTTCCTCATGTGTAACTATTTTTTTTATGTAACTTATCATTCTCAGCACCATTTGCTAATTAAATTTTTAATAAGGTATTTATTTCCAATTTTTCTTATGATGCTACTCAACTTTTGATAGTGAATTTTTCAGAATTGAGGGAAATTAGTGTTATGTCAATAAAGCCAGGCAGTATGTGTCGTATTGTATATCCATTGGGAAATTTACTTGTAAAATTAGGCTTTACACTACTCGTGAAAATAGCAGAGTTGAAACTGTGTTTTCTTCGCTTTGAACTTCATCAAAAACCAAAAGCGAAAAAAGCATGGAGAATGAATTGTTGAATGATTGTTTGGATATTTATTTATATTGAGAAAGAAATTTTTTGAACAAAAAATAACTCATTTACATAATTTTGAGATTTCAAATATTTAATCAAATATGCTAAAATCAAGAAAAGTTATACTTGAATATTGGAAGATCCTAATCTTAAGCATGGATCTATACACGGAGAGCGAGATTTGAAGAATCAAAACTCAAAAGGAATCCTGTTTGTCCTTTCGTTATTTATTTCTTTGTTGGCTCTGTTTCGTGAGGCTTGGGTTTCGGTGATTTATAGTATCTTCTAGTTTTTACTTAATAATAGAAACCCAACATAATACAATTAAATGGCTGTTATGAAATTAACCAACAAAAAAAATATACTGAAAAAGAGATGTAGACAAGAAAATGAGAGAATGATATTGTATTCTTCCCTTGCTTCACTTTTTATCACAATTTAATGGCATGCCCTATTTACAGGCATAATCTTACACATAAGTTACACTTATACTTAAATGATGGATAAAGGACAATAAACCACATGAATGTGAGTGGGGATGAGTTACAAAATTAAAGGGATAGTAGAGAAGTAATAGAGTAGTGGAAGATTAATGCCTAGTGGAAGTAGTGGGAGTTGATGAAGTTGAGGAGGAAGGGAAGGAGGACATCCATGTTTGATAATATTCATAACACTCCCCTTTGGATGTCCATCATATAAGAATGTGCCTCGTTAAAAAACTTCAACTAGGAAAAATCCTGTGGGACAAAAACCTAGTAGAAGAAAAAGAGTACACATTCACTTATACACTATTCGATGCTGCCTCATTAAAAACCTTGTTAGAAAAACCTAGTGGGAAAAAACCATAAACAAGAGAAAAAAAATACAGCGTGTATTAGCTCCCCCTTTTGATAACATCAATTGATGTTGTCTCGTTAAAAACCTTGCTAGAAAAACCCAGTGGGAAAAAACCATAAACAAGAGAAAAAAGTACAGCGTGTATTAGCTCTCCCTTTTGATAACATCAATTGATATTCCTGAATCTGTGACATCTGATATCATGAACAAGCTTTTCAAATATTGTAATAAGAAGGGACTTGGTAAACAAATCTGCTAGATTTTTATTTGAACGGATTTGCTAAATATATATTTCACTATCTTTTGAATATCATGAGTGAAGAAGAATTTTGGTGAAATATGTTTTGTTCTACCTTTAATGTACCCTTTTTTTAGTTGCGCAATATATGCAGTGTTATCTTTATACAAAATTGTCGGGATCATTTTGGTGGAAGACAAGCCACAAGTGGTTCGTATGTGATGTATTATCGATCTTAACCATACATATTCTCAACTTGCTTCATGTATTGCAAGAATTTCTGCATGATTTGATGATGTGGCTGATATGATTTGTTTCATAGAACGCCATGAAATGCTTATACCACCATATGTGAACAAATAGCCTGTTTGTGATCTACCGACATGTGGATCAGATAAGAATCCAGCATCTGTATAACCAAGGAGGTCGATCTTAGGTACGTTTGAGTAAAATAACCCCATGTCCATAGTACCCATGAGGTAACAAAAAACGTGCTTAACTCCATTCCAATGTCTTCGTATTGGTGACGAACTATATCTTCCGAGTAGGTTAACAACAAGTGATATATCAGGTCGTGTGTGACTAGCAAGATACATAAGTGTACCATTTGCACTAAAGTATGATACTTTTGGACCAAGTAGTTCTTTATCATTTTCTCAAGGCCTAAAAAAGATCTTTATCTTTCTCTAAAGATCTTACGACTATCAAAGTACATAATGGATGTGATTTATCCATATAAAAATGCTTTAAGACCTTTCTTGTATAGATTTCTTGACACAAGAAGATCCCATTTCTTGAATATTCAATTTACAATCCAAGACAAAATTTTGTTCTTCCTAAGTCCTTCATTTCAAATTCTTTCTTTAAACAACCCATAGCTTTTATAAGCTCTTCAGGAGTTCTAATAATATTATATCATCAACATAAACAACAATTATAGAAAACTTATTTCCAGATCTTTTCATAAGAATACATGGGCAAATTGGGTCATTCTTGTATCCCTCATCCAACAGATATTTGCTTAAACGGTTATGCCACATACGTTCTGATTGCCTCAATCTATATAGAGATTTATTTAACTTAATTGAGTATTGCTCTCAAGAACTTGAATTGTATGCTTCCGGCAACTTGAATCCTTCAAGGAGTTTTATATAAATGTCATTGTCAAGTGAGCCATATAAATAGGTTGTAACAACATCCATCGACGTAAATCGAGTCCTTCTTTTACTGCCAGACTAATTACATATCGAAAAGTAGTTGCATCCACTACTGGTGAGTATGTTTCTTAAAAATCAATACCAGGTCTTTGTGTAAATCCTTAAGCAACAAGCCGTGCCTTATGTTTTACAATTTTACTATTTTTATTTCATTTTCACACAAAAACCTATTTGTATCCGACTGGTTGTACATCTTCAGGTGTATAGACTATAGGTCTAAAAACTTTTCACTTCTCTAGTGAATTCAATTCTACCTTAATTGCATCCTTTCCATTTTGACCAATCTTTTCTTTGTTTATATTCATTAATAGACTTTGGTTCATGATCTTTATCATCATTCATCACATCAAATGTTATATTATATGTAAAAATACCGTCAACGTTGACTTTATTTCAGTCCCATTGTATTCCATTTATAATATAATTTATTGAGATCTCATCATTTTCACATATTTTAGGTACCTAAGTTTCTTTTAGAATTGAGATATTAGTATTATCTAATGACTCATCTTGAATTACTTTTTTTTCTTGATTATCCTCAACTTGGCTATCTATATTTTTAGCTCCTTTTCTCTTTCAAGGATTTTTATCTTTAGAACCAATGGGCTTGCCACGCTTCATGCGTGCTTTAGATTCATTTACAATAGCAGGTTGTCTAGCAGAGACATCAATTATGATAGGAGCATTAGCAGTTGGAATATGTGATTTGGTCACTTTCTTTGGATCAGTAAATGCGTCTGGCAACTGATTAGCTAACCTTTGTAAATGAATTATCTTTTGAACTTCTAGTTCATATTGTTTTGTACGAGGATTAAGTTGAGATAATGAAGGTTCTTTTCAACTAATCTCTTTTTCCAACTGCTTCTTTTCTCCCCCTAATGTTGAAAATTTTGATTCATCAAAATGACAATCAGCAAATCGAGCCGTAAATGAATCTCTTCTTGATGGTTTTAGATATTTTATTATAGAAGGAGATTCATATCCAACATATTTTCCCATCTTTCTTTGGGACCCATCTTAGCAGGTTGTGGTGGATCAATAGGAACATATACTGCACTTCCAAAAATTCTTAGACGGGAGATATTAGGTTTCTAACAAAAAACTAATTGTAAAGGGGAGGACTTGAGATAACTTGTTCACCTGATACAAATTAATGCTGCTACATGCAAAATTGATTTGATCTCATAAGTCATAGTCTTGCAATTAATTGTAGTCATTTAATTAATGATTTTGCAAGTCCATTTTGTGTATGAATATATGCTACAGGATGTTCAACATCAATCCCAAGAAACATACAATACTTATTGAAAGCTTGCGAAGTAAATTCACTAGCATTATCCAAAGGTATTTTCTTGATTGGATAGTCAAGAAAATGTGCTTTTAATCTAATTAGTTGAGCAAGTAACTTTACAAATGCTAGGTTACGAGAGGATAATAAACAAACATGTCACTATCTTATTGGTGCATCAATTAAAACCATAAAATACCTAAATGGTCCACATGGTGGGTGTATCGGCTCACAAATATCCTCTTATATGCGTTCTAGAAATGTGAGAGACTCACTTTCTATTTTTACTGGTGATGGTCGAATGATTAACTTCCTTTTAGAATATGCAGCACATAGGAAAACATGTGATTGTGAAATCTGTTGACTTTTCACTGAATGTCCACATGAATTCTCAATTATCTTTCGTATCATAATAGTCTCAGGATGGCCTAATCGGTCATGCAAAACATTAAATTTATTGTCACTTGTAAACTTTTGGTTTACAATAGCATGTATTTCAATTGTATTAATAAGTGCATAGTACAAGCCTGAAAGAAAGGCAGGTAATCTTTTTAGAGTGCATTTCTTACCAAAAATTAAATGTGTGATAATAAGATATTCTTGATTTCCTTCATTTGTTGTTTCAACATGATATCCATTTCTGCAAATATCTTTGAAGCTTAATAAATTTCTATTAAACATGGTAGAATAAAATGCATTATCGATATGTAATTTTGTTCCTTCACGTAGCAATACATGGGCTTTTCCAGGGCCTTCAATGAGGTTTATACTTCCAGATATAGTTTGAACATTGGCTTCCCGCATTACTATAGAAGAGAAATATTTCTCATTTTTGAGTATTGTGTGAGTTGTTGCACTATCAACGAGACACAAATCTTCATTATTGATGTCAATAATGGTCATTCTTCATGGAAAAAAAACATAGGAAAAAGATTAAAAAGCAAACATGATTAATAAAAAGAAAACATAATTTTGTGATGAATAAAAGCTCATAATTATATTTATTTGGGGGTTAATAACCTTACAAGTATAGAATTTATTGTGGTAGATGAAAGAGCACACTTATAAATAAAACATAAAAATATACTTAATTATAACAACTCAATTACATAAGATAACTCATTTTTGGATACTTCCATCACCAATTAAGTGATCAATTCTTCCATTAGGATCGACAAAAAATTAGCAACATTTAAATGAGTAACATCTATGTTGCCATAATTAGAATCACCTTTTCTAACAAAATTTGTTTCCACCTTTAGCTCTTTGCCTTCATTTTTATTATTATCCTTATTTTTAAGCAATTCTTGGTAATGGTCAACCAAATGTTTTGGCGTACAACAGGTTCGAGACCAATGACCCTTGCCACTACAACGATAACAAAGATTTTCCACATGATTATTATTTCCACTAGATTCCTTTTGGTGATTCTCATCATTATTTGCCCACTTTTGGTGGGAATGACCACCTCCACGACCACAGCCACGTCCATAACCATGGCCACGGGTTGATTCACTTGCTACTGCATTCGCTTCTGGGAATGGAGTAGAGCCAGTAGGATGGGATCCATGATTCCTCATTAAAACCTCATTATTTTGCTCAGCAACAAGCAGGCAAGAAATCAATTCATAATATTTTTTGAAACCTTTCTCACAGTATTATTGCTGCAGGAGCACATTGGATGCATGAAATGTGGAGAATGTTTTTTTCTAACATATCTTCATCAGTAATCTTTTCTCCACATAGTTTCAGTTGAGAAATGATTCTAAACATTGCAAAATTATATTCAATAGCAAATTTAAAGTCTTGCAAACATAAATGCATCCAATCATAATGAGCTTTAGGAAGAATTATAGTTTTCTGGTGGTCATACCTTTACTTTAAATTGTTCCAAAGAACAAGTGGATCTTTTATAGTCAAATATTCAATCTTGAGTCCCTCATGCAAATGGTGACGTAAAAAGATCATGGTTTTGGCTTTATCTTAGTTAGATGCCTGGTTGCTTTTCTTGATTGTGTCTCCTAGATCATTGGCATTTAGATGGATTTCCGCATCTAATATCCAGGATAAATAATTCTTTATAGTAATATCAAGAGCCACAAACTCAAGTTCGTGAGATTTGACATGATGATACTATCATATAAAAGTTAAATGAAAATTAATATTAAGAGAATGGAATAGTTATAAAACAAATCAATATGAATAAGAGAATGGAATAGCTATGAAACAAATTAGTACAAAAGTAATATAGAAATTTACCTTGCGGTTGATTGACCTTATTACAAAACCTTCCGATTACAAGAGCGCTTCGTGCTGATAACGTCTTATGAAATGGAACCAAAATGAACCGCAAAAGTAGAGTAAAGAAAGATGAAGACAAGAAAATGAGAGAATGATATTGTATTCCTTCACTTACTTCACTTTTTATCACAATACAATGACATGCCCTATTTATAAGTATAGTCTCACACATAGGTTACACTTATACTTAGATGATGGATAAAAGACAATAGACCACATGAATGTAAGGGGGGGTGAGTCACAAGATTAAAAGTATAGTAGAGAAATAATGGAGTAGTAGAAGATTAATGCCTAGTAGAAGTGGTGAGAGTTGAGAAAGTTGAGGAGGAAGGGAAGGTGGACATCCATATGTGATAATATTCATAACAGTATCATTTTATTTTATTTTTTAAAAAACTATCTTCTTTTTAATTTTGTTTTTGGCTATTTAGATAGAGGGTTAAAGTGGATCCAATATCCTGAAATATATTTTTTTGGATATGTGTATCCTAAAGTATTTTATGGCGTATCCACCATCCTAAAAACTTTCTGAAATATTTTTTTTGTCTTGGTACTAGATGAACCAAAAAATATTTTTGAGTGTTAGATGTACTTAAAAAAATATTTTAGAGTACTAGATGTACCAAAAAAATATTTTGAGTTATTAAACATACTTAAAAAATACTCTTCTGGTTTTTAATATATGATTTAATTATTGAGTTGATTTTGATTCTAAATATAAGACCTATTTATCATATTTATCAATTTTTCCTAAATTATTCCTATCAATCCTTCCTCAACTATAATCAAGTGGAAGAGGGATAGAGAGTATTAAGAAAGATGATTATGATGTTTTAGAAAAAACAAATTATATTTCTTATAATTAAATAACTTACTTAACTTTTTTTAATCTAATTAAATTAATTAAATAGATTTTATATTAAAAATCGGAGGAGTATTTTATACCACGAAACTTTAAGATGCTGTCCAGAAAAATACTTGAGGTGCGCAGCCCTTTGACATAAAAGTTACTCTTTTAGTTCTAAATGTAAAATCTTTATACATATTAGTATAAGGGTTTTATATTTAGAATTGAAAGAGCAAAAAAAAATAAAAACGTTCGGAGACATTACTTTCTTTTAATATTTCATGATGCTTTGCGTTTAGTGTGGGGTCAGAGCTAAGCCTGTATTAGGCACTTAGGCTATTCTTCAGCCTCCACTTCCAGTTTCAGTCCCGAGTGCGTCGTGAAGTCGGCCGTCTCTCCTCTACCCTGTTCCCCATTCTCTCGTGCTTTCATCGAATCTCCTGCAGGCAAGCTTCAAGCTTTCCCTACTTCCTTCCTTATCCCCTTCTGTTCATCTTTCCAATCTTCACAGCTCTCTCGCACTCTCTCCTTGTCTGTTTCTTCTTGTTTCGTGCAGTGAAGTCGCTCTATTTGATAAACAACAAAAAACGAAGTCACTCTTTGTCCCCTTCGTTGAATCCTCACCACAGCATACTGCCGGCGCCGATAATGGACTACACACCGCCTCCGTTTGACGACGGCTTCACTGCCGAGAAGCTCTTCTGCCAGGGTTACTCCTACACTTATGACGACGTCATTTTCCTCCCTCACTACATTGACTTCCCTACTGATGCCGTTCAGCTTGCTACCAGAGTCAGTCGTAATGTGCCTCTAAATATCCCCTGTGTCGCTTCTCCAATGGACACCGTCTCCGAAGCCCACATGGCCGTCGCCATGGCTGCCCTTGGTGGGATCGCTTTTATCCACTCTAATACGACGCCGTCCGATCAGGCTGCCATGGTACGTTCCGCTAAGTCGCGTCGAGTGCCGATTCTCTCCAGCCCTGTCTTCAAAGCACCCTCTGGGAGGATTGAGTCGCTTGATGATTTTGGCGACTCACCGTATGTTTTGGTGACTGAGTCGGGCACTTCGACATCTAAGCTTTTGGGTTATGTCTCGAAGTTGGATTGGCGGAAACTAAACGATAAAGAGGTGAAGATATATGACTATATGGTGAACTCGTCGGATTCAGTACCGTCGAGCTTTGATTTAGGACAAATCCATGCGTTTATGGAGGAGAAGAAGTCAAATTTCGTGCCTTTGATGAACAACGACGAGGTGTTGGATTTGGTGACGAAGGAGGATGTTGAAAGGATTAGAGGGTATCCTAAACTGGCAGCAGGTTCTGTGGGGGCGGATGGGAAGTGGCTGGTTGGTGCGTCAATTGGCACAAGGGAAAGTGACAAAGAAAGATTAGAATACCTATTGAAGGCTGGAGTGAATGTAGTAGTCTTGGACAGCTCTCAAGGGAACTCTATCTACCAGTTGGAGATGATAAAATACATAAAAAATAAGTATCCAGAATTAGATGTTGTAGGCGGGAATGTCGTTACTATGTACCAAGCTGACAATTTGATTCAAGCTGGTGTTGATGGAGTGCGAGTTGGTATGGGGTCTGGATCTATATGTACGACTCAAGAGGTTTGTGCAGTAGGGCGAGGACAGGTATGAATCATAATTAGAACTCAAATTGTCCACTTTTTTTTTTTTTTTTTTTTTTTTTTTATTTCTGTCACTCTTAACTAATTTCTGAATGATGGAAATCTGAAACTTTGATTTTGTTTACTTGTTTGTCAGGCAACAGCTGTTTACAAGGTCTCATCGATTGCTTATAAAAGTGGTGTTCCTGTTATTGCTGATGGCGGCATCTCAAACTCTGGTCATATTGTTAAAGCCTTAACGCTTGGAGCATCTACTGTGATGATGGGAAGCTTCTTGGCGGGGAGCACTGAAGCTCCTGGTGCTTACGAGTATCGGGTATTGAAATCTAATAAAATAACGCATTGAACATGTCTGTACTGTTGTGAGAGAAGTCACCACTAACATGATTAAACGACTGTGTGTGTGTGTGCGTGTGGACCTTTCAACTTTGCGTATGCCATAAGTTATTGGGTTTTGATAAACTGTGTATTCAGTGGCAACTTATGCCATCTTTACGGATGGAGTGACAATGAAGGCTGTGTTACTTTTGTCTTTATTAGGATCGAGTGTTTTTCTTCCTTGGCGTGAGAATCATGTGGCGATTAGAAACATCTTTTTAATAGAGATACCCAGTGTGATTCTAAGTTGAAAACATAGTTCACTTGTGAGATATAAACACGGAGAACTTTCAAAGGAAAGGAAAAAACAAACAACATAGTAATGATAATTTTGTGGTACAATATTGCTGTTATCTAAGAAAATTAGCCTTTCATGCAGTGATTTAGTGCGATTTTGGTTTCATGTTGAAAACAACCAAAACTATGATTTTGGTGAAAGCACGTACCTGTTGTGAACACACCCCAATAAAAATGTACATAAACACTCGTACATTTGTGAGTGACAACATGTTGTTACATCTAATTAAATTGTTTATATCTTCTTTTATTTCCCCTGCTCTCCTATTTGCTGTCTAATAATTTTGCAGTGGCTTTCATAATTGACCTTGTTTTTCTTGTGCTGATTGTTTTACTTCTTTCTCTGGCTTGAAGACTTGTTCATGTGAAATGGGGATTTAAGATTCTAGTAATTTAAACAACTATTTTCATTGTAACAGAATGGTGTACGTGTCAAAAAGTATCGAGGAATGGGCTCTTTAGAAGCTATGACAAAAGGTAGTGATGCAAGATACTTGGGCGATACTGCAAAGCTAAAAATTGCTCAGGGGGTTGTTGGAGCAGTTAAAGATAAGGGTTCTGTCTTGAAGTTCGTACCATACACCCTGCAAGCAGTTAAGCAAGGGTTTCAAGATCTTGGTGCCTCCTCTCTGCAGGCTGCTCATGATCTTCTAAGATCTAAGGTGTTAAGGCTAGAGGTATGAATGATCAGCGCACATTAATCTATTCTTGCCCTGGTTATTAACAATACTCGATGTCTTGTTGAATTTTTATTAACAAAGCTGAAGCATTTTCAAAATCAAGATAGCTCATTTTTTGAACATGCATTCATCAATAACTTACTAGTTTTCATGGAGAAGGGCAGATTCTAAAATTCCGTGGTGCCTTTTTTTTTTAAGTTACTGTAACATTGAGCTGAATAAGTGTTATCTCAAGAAAAAAGGGTTACAATATAGATAAATTAGGATAGATTTATAATGGCTTCTCCTTTTCTGAAATTTGTTGTGTTGGCATTTTTTACGTTCCTTATCCTGTCTATTCTGCCTATTGGAGAAGATGTTGATTCGTGCTTAAGTGTTATCTCAAGAAGTTGGGATCACTACCTTATTCCAGCACTGAATCCAATAAAGTAGATGGCAACTCCCTTTTTGTATTCCTATGCTGCAATTTGCAAAGCTTAGAATCCCAAATTTCTTTTTGTACATGCTGATATACTTGAGATCTCTTAGTAGTTTATGTTGTAAATTATTTGGTTTTCTCTTTTCCAGGTCCGAACTGGAGCAGCACAGGTGGAAGGTGGAGTTCATGGGTTGGTTTCTTATGAAAAGAAATATTTTTGATGGGTATGAAAGTATGAAACTATGTAGCTTTCTCTGAAAGCTGTGGATGAAGTCACGTGACAAAAATGTTTGTATGAATAGTGAAATTCGGGAGGGACGATATTGGATTTGCAAAGGAAAAGATTCCACCCTCATTTTATTAATAAGAACTCTTTACCATCAATTATATTTATGATTGTCTTGTAGAGTCAAGCTTAATGTTGTCGATTTAATATTTGAATGATGATTTAATGTTTTCATCTCTGCAGTACTTGCAGAAAATTCGTTGCATCCAGTTGGAATGTATTGTTGAAAGGGCTGCAAGAGATGATATATTTTTTTTATTGAGCTTCGAAATTGAGTAGAAGTCATCTCAGTTATTTGGATAATTGTCCCCCGCTCTCGGAACTACTTGCGTGCTCGAATGCATTCTCAATTTTTTTCTATTAAATGGCTCTATGTCAAATTAGTGGTTTTTATCATTGGCAAGAATTTCTTTTTTTTTTTTCCCAATGGAAAGTATTCACTGGAATTATTTGGAGATGATAGCATCTGTTCTCCAATAATTAGAAACATTCACAAGGTAAAAATTTCAATTCTGAAAGATGTGACTTGGGGAACATGATCATTTGCCAAGCGTAGGACACACATATGATGAAATATTTATGTAAGAAAGCAATTAAATGAGATCGATTTATTCACAAGGGGGCCTCCCAAAATCAGATGAACTGAGACATCACCACCCTCGTTCCTAAGTTGACACAGGATTCAAGTTTTCCTTAGCTGCGTCCTTTGAAAATTCATGGAGGACGACCGGTTTTTCGAGCACGTCACTTACAGCAGATAATAACTCGTGTGACGTGTACCCATCGTCCTTCAAGTAAAAGAGATACAAAACTTTTGCCATGTTCCAAAACAGATTCTTGCAAGCTCTTGGAATTGTGCTACCTTCTTCCTGCAAAACCAGTCTCAGGAGCTCTCTTCTGTTTTCCTCAATGATATCCTTCATCTCCCGAATCAGATCTTCTTCAGTAACATCCCCACCCCTTTGAGCAATTCGCAAAGTGAATGCATTCAATTTCCCTTGTGCAGATTCCCTCTGCAAGATAGACAGAAAACATCAGACACTTTCAAAACTCTGAAACCATTGCAACTCTAATTTGAACTCAGAAGTGAAAGCAATGATTGGTTTTATTAACATCTCCTTTAGGATCAACGGGAATCGAACTACATATCTTAGCCACAGGCCTTGACTATTTGACGCCACGTGATAAGCTATGATTAGTTTTATGAATACCTCTCGCAGAAGACAGGCAAAGCAAGTCCAAATTTTCTCCACTTAATTGG